TTCACTTCAGTACCTTACCTGGAAGCAGGGGTGGCAAGTTGGAGTTGGCACTTGACTTACAAGATGGGGCAGACTCACATCTCTGACTATGCCTGCTCTCTGCCTCCGGATGTGGGAAAGGAGGGGCAGGGTGCCCAGCACTGTCATCCATCAGAGTCTGGGAGCCACAGGCAGGTGCAGCGTGGGTTCCCTGTCAATCATTTACACTGTCTGCTTACGTAAGCCCAAGGCCAGCTCACAGCCTGCTCAGTTCAGTCCAGAGAGCAGGGGTTCCAGAGCAAACTGTGGGCACTGCATTCCTCCCTGTCTCTCTCTGTCTTCTCTGAGAAAGCCACACAGGATCAAGACAAACCCTGGGGTCTTTTATTCAAGTCTGATGTTAACATTTTCCTCTTACACACACATTTTTCCCTCACCTCTGACACATACATACCTAAAACTACACATCACACACACACACACACACACAGGCTCACAGATGCACATGGCTACACTTGTGTTCTCTCTTCAACACCACTATGTTGCAGTTTTGGTGACGTCCCTAATCAGGGTTACTCTTTGTGATATCACCGTGTGAACCTGACAGCTGAGCTTGTAGTCTACTATGATGATTCTATTTTTGCTTACAGGATTTTTGTTTTCCCTGGAATTCATAATTGTTTTGTTGTTTGTACTTTTGAAATACAAATGACCAATTTACTCTCAAACTCTTCTCCAGTTACTTAAGATTGTCATGCCAGATGCTCTTTTAAATTTTTTTTTTTTCTTGAAAAAGTCTTTTTTAGAAACCCCTCGAGATCCAGACCTGACACATCACTGCCATCCTGGCACCTCCACCTGGAGTTCCTCCAGGGATTCTCCTCTACTCTCCTGTGCTGGTGTCTATACTTCCTGGATTCCATGTCATCATGCCCTTTGATGTATTCTCTCAGTTTGATAGCACACAAACTCCTGTAGTTTCTTGAGAGGAGGGAAGAAAATTTTTTGAGACTTCATGTGTTTGGAAATAGTCTACATACTTATGGCTGGTAGTACGGTCTGAATATTTGCTCCCCCACCCCCAGATTTGTATGTTGAAACCTAATGTCCAAAGCAACAGTATCAAGAGGTAAGGCCTTTGGGATGTGAATATTAGGAGAACTCTGTCCTCATGAGTGGGATTAGTGCCGTTATGGAAGGCCTAAGAGAGCTTCGTCATCGCTCTGCCATGGGAGAACACTGCAAAGACATGACTGTCTGTGAAGCAGAAGGCAAACTTTGGACAGACCTCGAATCTGCTGGTGACTTGATCTCCCAGCCTCCAGAACTATGAGAAATACCTTTTGTTGTTTATAAATGACCTAATCTATTTTTTCTGATGGCAACCTGAAGGAGTGTGGCCGACTAGCTCTGTTTCTTGAAGACTGACGACACCTCGTTTGATCTCCATTTCTCCTGTCCTCATAATGTATCAGCTATGTTTCCGCCCACACCCAGCAGGCTGTTGTTAAGATGGAGCTATTCCAGGCACTTGGAGCAAACTGGTCCTACTTCTGGAGGACCTACTGTAGGCCCTTTGAATACCTTTGGAAAGGTCTGGCTTGCTTCAATGTTGGGGCTTCAGAGGATGGAATATGAATGTAACAGAGTGAGGAAGTGTCGAAGTTGTTGGTGCCATTGGGTCACCGCCTACCTATCCCTTTCCATGTAAATTTAACCCATAATAAACTCCGCACAGTGCTTTGTTAAAGTTGTGTTGTTCTTGTTTTCTGTCTTATTGATCTTACCTCAAATATAGTCTGCATGGAATAAGATGGCTGGGTATAGAATTCTAGATTGGCAATGATCTAATTTCAGAATTGATAAGGTATTGATCTATGTCTGATGGCTGCAGGGTGGCAGTGAAGCCTGATGTCATATAATTTTGGGTTTTGGTAGTCATGGTTTTGCTGTAGAATACACACGGATTTTTGATCTGGGTGTATTTCTAGCTAGTGTTCTGAGTTCTTGAAGGCCCCCTGACCTTGGATATGCCTGCCCTGTAGCTATCTCTTAGCAAATTACTGATATATGTTCCACAAGGGTGTGGATTACTGGGCAGTTGACTTGTTTCCCTGATCTTAGCAAATAGTTTTCCTCTTCCCAGCTGTGACTGCCTGTGGCCTGGAGGAAGTTGAGTCACTTCCTGATGCAAATCACAAACCATCAAAAATGCTGCACTTGCAAGTCACTTTTCCACATATCTAAATAATAATGGCATAGCAGAAGCTTTTAAACCACCAGGTTTCATTGAATTGCACCGCTTACAGAGAAAGGTTCAAACCCATTGTTAGCTACTGAAAGATATATGGGCTATTCAGGGTTCCGCCCTGGGCACACCCAGGTCAGTTCCCTCTTGCTTAGATTCAGTTGGTTCCAAGAGAGCAGATGGTTTTTGGAAATAGGAGGCCAACTGCAAAGGATTGTATCAATGTGGCACTTCAGATTCAGTCACCAGGCAACTGCACCTTCTCACCATCAGACCAGCCTCTGTCTGACTGACTATGTAGTCCTCCTTCTGTAAAGAAAGCCTTTTGCATGTCAAAGAGAATAATAGTGAAGAGAATGATGGGTTTTGAGGCTCCTGATGCATTTATGCCTCCACCCCACAATCTTGGGCAGGTGTGATTGTCCCCATGACCGAGAATGGACCGAGACTCTGAATACTGTCAAGAGCTTGCCCTAGGGTAGCAGAGATCAGTCTCACATTCGAAGGATTTTATTCCAAGTCCCAGGTCGCTCTGCTGGGCCGCATAGTCCCTTCACCCTCAGATGCAAATATTACACGTTGATATATGAGGAAAGTCCTGGCCTGCTGTGATGTGGACTGGGAGGTGAGCATGAGGACAGGGTGGTGTCCACTTCAGGTCTACCCACACAGAACAAAAGTTGCCCAAAGGCAGCACGAGGCTGAGCCTGCACGGGGTCTGGGCTCTGCCATGAGCTGACACCCACCCTGTGCCTGAAGTTGTTCCTCTGTAGATCTGGAGGCTGGGAATAGAAAGACTGGCCCGTGTGTGGTCGTGGGGTTCTGTGAGGACCAAGGTGTCTGCAAAGCTGTTTTAGAAATTGTGAAACCTGGGAACCAGCAGTTGGTGTAATGGCTATGTCGCTGGATTCCCACATAGTCGACCACGGTTCGCGTCCTGGACCCGGTGGCTTACAACTCACGCCGGGTGCGTGTGCGTGCATGCCCAAGATCCCGAGAGGAGAATGGAGGAGAAGGTATTGCGGCGTGACCATCCCCCCTGAGGGGTGATTTCTCGCTTTCTGTCTCTATGTCTCTCTCTGTCTGTCTGGTGTCTTTCATCTGCAACTTGTGGCTCGGTCAGTGTCGTGGAAATGGACATGAGGAACAGCTGTCCACGCGGATGACACCATGCATTCGAAGAGAAGGTGGGTTTTCTGCCCACAAGATGCTTTGTTCAGAAAGGAGAATGAGCAGAATTTTCCTGGGTTGGCGCTGGACTCTCGTCTCAGGGTGGGGTGAGCAAAAGCATCTCTTGGAGCCCGGTGTGGAAGTGGAGCTTCTTCCTCCTGGGTGGGTGTGGGGCCGCAGAACTCTGGCCAGGATGAAGGGCAGGGTCTGGAGGAAGTGGGAGGGGCTGGGCCCATCTCCTCTGACCTTTGTCCAGTTTCGGGGCTGACAGAGGCATCCGTCTCTGTGGCCATTGTGCCTGTGCCCTCAGGGTCAGAGACACCTTCCAGGGTCTTATCAGTGCTGAGTGATGTCGGGATTGCAGGACGGCCCCTGAGAAAGGCAGCTGTTGGGAGAGCAGGTGGAAAGGTTTGGATTAGCATTCCAGGGCTCTGTGGGTGATGCCTTTTCCTGAGTAGTCCTTGGTATTAACGCACGGGCACAGTGGCTTGCACAAGGCCCGTACAGGGCGTGTTTTTCTCTAAGTCCAAGCCTTCGTGTCCAGCCCTGGTAGGATTCCCCACAGGTTGTGAACTGGAGGTCCTCCCCTCTTTCTAAGCTCACAATCAGTGCTCTGTGGCCAGCCCTGGCCCGGGATAAAGGGAGCGGGATACTACATGGCTGGCCAGGGTTGGGATTCCAGCCCTGGGGGCTTGAAAAATGCACTGGGCACGTGGGCACGGTGCCCCAAATCCCAACAGGATGGATAAATGGAGCAGGAATTGCAGCGTGACCCCGGAGGGGTTGCTTACTCCCTCTCCCCCACCTCTTCTGGTGTGTGCCTGTGCCCTCCAGCAATACAAAATCGGCACTCTCGGGACCAGCAGTTAGCGTAATAGCTATGTGCTGGACTCCCACGTCGTCGACTACAGTTCGAGTCCTGGATCCGGTGGCTTAAACTCATGCTGGGCGCGTGTGCGTGTGTGCCCAAGATCCTGAGAGGAGAATGGAGGAGAAGGGATTGTGGCGTGGCCATCCCCCCAGGGGGTGATTTCTCACTTTCTGTCTCTCTGTCTCTCTCTGTCTTTCTGGTGAGCGCACGTGCCCTATAGCAAATACCTTAAAAAAAAAAGTGGCAGTCTCCGTTTTCAGTGAGGACACCGAGGTCTGGAGGGGTGAGATGGACATGGCTGAATAGCTACTGAGTGGCTGGGCTCAGGCTGGGGCCAGGGTCCGGCTCCAGGGTCTGCTGTTGTTTTACTCTGTGCTGGGCCTCGCAGGCTCCTCCTGCTCAGCGCAACCCGCTTGCTGTCAGATGCGAGCTCCCTGCTGTCCGGGTAGAAGGCTTCCCCCAAAGTCCACGTCTGGTGAAACCTCGGCCTTCATAGTGTGACCTAATCAGGTGACTCCTAGTCCAGCCATTGCCAGCACAGCGAGTTGGGGTGAGATGAGGTCACACTGGACTAGGGTGAGCCTTTCGTCCAATCCGATCGAGATTAGGAGGGACAGGGACACGGACACACACACAGAGGCCACGTGGAGACCAGGCAGACACTGGGATGAGTCTGCTGCAAGCCGTGTTCACCAAGGGCCACCAGGAGTGGATGAGCCAGGGAGGACCCTGCCCTCAGCCTTTGGAAGGGTTGTGGCCCTGCCCACACTTCGATTTCAAACTTCTGGCCTCTGGAACTATGAGCTAGCAGATTTCTGTTGTCAAAGCCATCTAAACTTGGGCTGCACACGAGGCAGCCTGGTGGAAATGCCAGGCCTAGCGGGTACTATCAGACAGGAGTGATCTGTCTCAGCAGCTGAAACCCTGCCAGGCCTGCTTGCCTTGTGTTAGAAGTTTGCCCTTGGCCTCAGAGCTGTCAGCGAGGCCTGCCATGGTTCTGGCCTCTCCTTCACAGAAGGGCAGGGGCTACCTGGCCCTGGAGATTGTCAGGAGCAGGCATGTCCCAGGGCACACAGCTTGGGCAGAGCGAAGAGAGGGGCATGATGAGGAGACACCAGGGCCAGTCGTTCCCCAGCGGAGTGCGGGCACTGGCAGAGGCCAGGTGGCCTGAGTCCCAGCTTCAGGAGAGCGCTGGGCCCACAGCCTGAAGGAGCCCAGCGTTTAGGAGTCCCTGCAGCTCCTCCCAGGCTAGGCTAGAAGCACGTCACCAGCCTCATGATTTGGAATCTGAGGTCGACCTTCCAGAGGTGGGTACCACGGGCCTCGAAGGAACTGGGAGAAATACCGGTTCACTCCCTGGAACCCCTCATCTGGCCCCTCCGCTGTTCTCGTAGCTCTGCATCTGGGGAGAACAGTGTGGAGGCCCACCATCTTCTACCACAGGTGACATCCACCTGTGGCCCCAGGCGTGTCCCCAGGATCACCATCACAGGTGGCATCTACCCAGTTTCTCCATCGTGTCTCCACCGTGAGTTGCCAACTTTCCTTCTTCATACTCTGCTCTTTGGAAATAGCTAGGTCCACTCGCCCTCTGGGAGGGAAGGGACTTCAGCTCCGTCCTGGAGGGGAATGTCTGGGTACCTCAGTCTGAGCCTGTTTCCAGTCGCCCCCTCCCGCTCGTGTGTCTCTTCCTGCTATTGATTTCGACATCAGGGCGAGCTGAGCGTCTGTGGGCTTCCTTCTGTCTCTCTGTACTAAGACGCTGGCTTCAGGGGGCTGAGAGTCAGGAGAGGGGAGGGCCGGCTCAGAGCAGGGAGGGGAGGCGCTGAGGTCTGTCCAGACCAGCTGTCAGCTGTCACCTGGGCCAGGGTGCAGTATTCTGAGTACAGCTGAAAATCCTGCATGCGGAGACCTGGTGTTTAGCAAAGTCCTGTGAGAGGTTAATGAGGACACAGGGAAAGTGCTTAGAACCAAATAGACTACTGATTTTTTTTTTTTAAAGGTTTTTGCCATGGGGTGCATGTGCTCGCTGGAGAGAGACAGAGACAGTGACCTGAGGGAAGAAAGTGAGAAATCACTCCCTCCCCGCCCCAGGAAGTGACCATGCCTCCATCCCCTCTCCTTCATTCTCAGGATCTTGGACAAGCACACACATGTACCTGGTGTGGTTTTTTTTTTTTTTTTTTTTGGAGGGGTTTTCGCTTTAGGGAGGGTGGGGCT